ATGCAGCCCAGGATACGGTTGGCTTTCTGGGCTGCGAGCGCACATTGCTGGCTCACGTCCAATTTTTCACCCACCAGTACCCCCAAGTCCTTCTCCATTCATCACCCAGTCTGTACTGGTACTGGGGATTGCCCCGACCCAAGTGCAGGACCTTGCACTTGGCCTGGTTGAACTTCATGAGGTTCACATGGGCCAACTCCTCCAGCCCACCAAGGCCCCTCTGGATGGCATCCCCTCCCTCCAGTGATCAACGGCACCACTCAGCTTGGTGCCCCCTGCCAACTTGCTGGGGCTGCGCTCAATCCCACCGCATCACTGATGAAGATATTAAATTGTAGTGGTCCCAGTACGGGCCCCTGAGGGACACCACGCCTTACTGGGTTGCTCCACCACCCGCCGCCTCCACCCCGAACACGTGCTGGTGGAGGACAACCAGGAGGAAGCGCACCCCCTGCCCAACCCCTGCCTGCAGCCCTGCCCACCTCCCCAGGCTGAGCCCTCCCAGCCCTGCCGGCTCAGCAGCCGCCTTGCTTTTGCCGACGAACTGCTATCGCGGCGCAAAATCAGCTGTCCCGGCAAAAGCCATCTCCTGGTGGCCCTCCCCACCCTGGGTTGGTGATAACGAAGGGAACCACTTAAGGGTTCGTCAGGGCCAAGGCGAGGCGGGCAGTGGGGTCTCCGAAGGCAGGGGGTATGAAATGCCCAGGGAAGGCACGTGGCGGGTGGAAGCAGGGACAGGGCTGGGGTCTGCCCGTGTCCGTGTCCATGCCAGGTGGTGACACTGGATGTGGCTGATGTGCCCCCCTGTGCTCTCACTCCCAAGGACCAGGCATCCACACCAAAAACCACCCCTGGGATGTGGTTCAGACCCTGCTCTGGATCAGTCCATACTAAAACCAATTTGCCCCTCTCTGGCCAAGAGCTGCCCGGCCCGTCATCCCCACCCCACTGCACCTGCACAGCCCGGACAACGCCACCAGCATTGCACCGTGCAAATAAAACACAGCTCCATCCTAATTTTGCTGCTCCCGGAGCTTCCCAGCTAACCACCGGGAGCCCCGGGGCTGAGACAAGGGTGGGGAGCGGGCAGAACACCCTGCTCGCTGCCACGTGGATTCAGGCTCCAACCCTTCCTGTGTCTTTTTTCGCACTTGCAAAAATATTTGCTGGCACTGAAGCGGACTAAGAAACGTCCTGAAACCCCTCGCTCGGCGTTTCGCCACCAGCCGTGGCTGCACCGCCCGCGGGGGAAGCAGTTCCCATGCCCAGGCTGGGTGGGACGGATGGATGGAGACTCTCTGCAGGGCTGCGTGCTCCCCGGCTCATCCCTTCCCTGGGCTCACAGAATCCGGCCACCCACCAGCAAAGCCCCTCCAGTACTGCCCGGGGTTCCCAGGAAGACGAAGCCCCCGGCCGGGCAGGATCCGGCCCTCCCTGCTCACCTGTACTGCGCCTGGAAGTGGCTCTGCACGAAGCTCTGCCCGCGGGGATGCTGGGCGGCCGGCGGGGAGCTGCCGGCACCGCCGCTCCCATCCTCGCCAGGCTGCGGGGGCAAGAGACAAGGGGGTTGAGCGAGGCGCCGGGGTGACCCCCCCACCCTTGAGGGGTTGGGGAGACGTCCCAGTGAACCAAGCCCAGCTTCGGTGTCCCCACGGCATGAGGATGGGCTGAAGGTGACGCCGAGGCGATCCCTGCCCAGCACCCACTGGCCCCGTGCCCTCCAGGCTCCCTGCGTGCCTTCTCCTGGGGAAATTCTGGGGTATGTCCCATCCACCCTTAGTGTGGGGCACTAAGGGTTAACCCTCTGTCCGCACCCCTGCCCCAGCACCTGCCCGCAGGCAGGGGCTCTGCAGCAGCCAGACCTGGCTGGGATGGCTTATCCATGCCACAGCGTGGGCACCTCTGGCAGGGGAAAGCTTGGGAGGCAGAAAGCCGGTCCCCCCACAACATCCCCCTCCAAGGAGCCCCAGTGCCCACGGGCACACGCCTGCAGGGTCAGCAGCCCTGGCAGGGAGGTGCCCACAGCACCCCAGCACCCACTGTGCCGGCAAATGCACCCATGGGTGCTGGGACCGGCCGTGCTGCAGGGAGCTGCACGTGGGTGGGCGAGACGGCAGGATGCTGCAGCGAGCAGGTGTCCGTGTGTCTGCGTGCGTGTCCGTGTGTCTGCGAGGTGAGCTCCTGGAGCGGGTGTGCACGTTCCTGTGCATGCACCCGCCTGAGGCAAACACAGCCAGGTGCAGATTAACCACATGCAAATCACCAGAACCAGGGAGCTAAAAAAAGCAGCGGCTGGCGTGATGCCCCCCCAGGCAGGCGTGCCAGCGTGGGGCTGCCAGCGCCGCCCAGAAAATGAGCCCCGCTGCTGTGTGTTTCCCCAGCGCCTTTACCAGCAGCAAGCCCAGGCACGGCACCCAGCATAGCACCCGGCACCCCAAGCCCAGGCACAGCACCCCGGCACAGCACCCGGCACA